GCTCTTCGACAGATGTGTTTGTTGCTGAGAGAAGATGTGTCTGTACCTTTAGCACCGAGTGAGATCATATGAAAAGGAGAGCATGCTCCTCCAGCCTCATGAAGAATTACACAAGATTCCTTTGACAAATAGGAATATTGGAAGGTTAATGGAATAGCTGAAATTCAGTGATACTCATCTTGTGAATGAATGCATGTGCCACATGCAGATATTTGACTATGCTGATTGTAACTATAACTTGTTCTAACTTAAAACACCTTTACTGCTGTTCATGATAGAGGTGTGGCAAATTGGAGGTTTACATCTCCTTCCAGTTGCCCACCCTGGGGAATAATGACTTCCTTTCCCTTGATGTAGAAGAGAACCAGCATCTGAAGTTTTAAGTTCCTCTGTGGGTGGTGCCTTGAAGTGAGAAGCTTGATGCTGTATGTGAGGGATTTTTGGGTTTCTTTCTACTGCCCAAATTTTAGACCTTGACTGATAAACCTCTTAAGTTCTGCACTAAGAAAACAATCTTTAAGAAAAAGAAGATCCATGTTTCACAGTCATACAGTATAATGCTTCCCAAACCCACCATTTTACTTTGTGACTTGTAGATGTTGATTGCTTCTGTTGCCTGTTTTGTTGTGCTCTCCTTGGCCTTTGTGACTGTATAGGATTCTGCTGTACTCATCAGAGGGGCTGCCTATAGACCCTGCTATAGGCTGCACCTCCTGCCTCAGTCTTTGACTAACAGATGATAAATGTGAGCCTTGTTGTACTGCCTGACAGACATAAGTTACACGGATGTAGTAATAAAGTGGTTTTTATATTACTGGACATTCATAACGCAAGAAGATACTTAGGACATAATTCTGCTGCCCCTGCTTGATGGAATCTTATGTCAAAGAGGAGAAAAATTGCATTTGGGTTTTTTTAGTCCATTCCTCAAGCAATCAAAGGAATGTTGTTGCTGCTGTTTTTGTGCATCTGAGTCTGAGCAAGCTCAGTTGTGGTGCTGTGTTTTTTGTTTGTTTTTTAAAATGTTCCTAAAATACACACTAATAGAAATTCTAAATCCATTTTTATATCACTTCTGTAATTCCAATTATGAGGTCTAATACTAAAGATGTGGTGTAATGTAAAAAGGTGTTTTAATATATAATGTATATATATATCCTATATATACAGCATTCATAAGGGCTCGTGGGCTGTACTGTTTCATTCCTGTTCTGTCTTGAATTAAAAAAAAAAAATTTCTAAGATAATACTGTATAGGAGAAGGACTTGGCATTCATAAAATATTATTTTGCAGCTGGAAAATGCTGTGCAACACTTATCTGTACTGTAGCATTCCTGTATTCTCTAGATCAAACCCCATAATTTTTTGATATGCTGTAATTTAGGAGTAGAATCTTGAAAGGAATTTAAAAAGGGATTTAAAGTTGAGGCATAGCATACTTATTTTTACTTTTTCTAAATCAAAAACATTTCACACTTCGAAAAAATTGATCTTGTTTCTTGTGTATTTGTTGATTGCAACAAATCATGATCACTGTTATGGGTGGATGGGGATGTTGGGATCACGGCGTTCTGCGGTCAAGGTTGGACCATATGATCGTTTCACTTAGTTACTGCTTTTTGGTTTTGTCCGTATTCTTGCTTTTGTGCTTTGAATTTGTTATGTGTTTTTGTTTATAGTAAAACAGGAAGAGGAAGCTTTTTTTTTTTCAGCGCTCACTTAAAACAAGCTCATGGCTGTTCAAACTACAGACAGTGTCTGGTGGTGAGAAGGAGAGAGAAGGGAGCTTAGAATAATTCTGTTCACAGACTTTTGCAATAAGATGAGTTTATCTGCTCTGGAAGATTCTTTTTATAAGACAGATAAATACTAGCCTTTCACTGAAAGAAGGTATTATAAATGGCTATCTGAAAGAAGGTATTATATGTAGATATATGTGGCTATAAATATAATGGATGTGTTATTTCCATAATATGCTATGAGATTTCCCTTGTAGTACAACCTTAGTATTCAAAAAACATTTGTCTGCTTTTCAAACTTTGTTGATACTTATTTTCAAGTTCTTATCAAGTAGAAATAAGTATTTCTAAACTTATATTTGGTTTTCCCGGTTTGTTTCTCTGCTGACTGTTTTCTTGGAAACTTTAAGCAGTAGAGCACAATGACTGTGTCTGGCAAAGAGGATCTGGACACAAATCGCTGAACTTAATAGATGGCTGAGTTAAGCGAAGGCAAAAGGTTGGTTGTGTAATAGCAGTCTTTCCTCCCTGGCATAGACCATGAGAACTACGTGGGGATTTTGGTGATCATCTCCAAATGATTTGCATTTCCTGACTTCTCGTAACAATAGTTTTTCAAATAATTTCTAAAGATAATGTTTTTGATGGTTTTCAAAATCATGGCATAGGACTGCAGACTGTTAGGGATGATGTAGCTTTTGTGATGGGGGTGTGGGATGGTGTCACGAATGAGTGGTTGGGCCGCTTAAAGAGTCACCAACAAAGATACCAGAAAGCAAATGATTTTAATATAGATTCGTAAAAAGGCATGACTTAACAGAATTCCATGGCAAGGTTCACTCTATTACTTACTTAATGTGAAAAGGTGTACAAAGAGAAACCAAGTTACAATTAGATTGGAATTATTTGCTCGTGGATCAAATAGGGTTAATGTGGCTTTTATGTATATTGAGGAGAGAAAGTAGGGGAGACCCTCCTCTTGAGTCACGAGGTTCAGGGTGGACCGAAATCCACCCCTAGTCCAAGACTCGGTCAACAGTTTATGACTAAAGGAATAGGATATTGGGGATTCTGGTGTAGTGCTTGGTGTAACTAAAATAACAGCAATCAAATTCACTAACACCGTTGAGATAAATCACAGTATCAAATCATAAAACTTAGTAACATAATTAACCTAAAACTTACTAAGTTTAATGATATTGAGGTAAAACACAGTGTTAAATCATAGCAACATACGAAGATCAGACACATAAAGACATATAGAGAGAGAAATATGTACAAAGGTACCTTTAAATGCCCCTCTCGGATTCAGTCAAATACTCGCATCGAATGCTTTGTATCGCTCAACGGGTGATCAGCTGAGCCTCTGAGTGGATTGCAAACTTGAGGGTTCACGGGCTCCAAGAGGCATCCCACGCAGAGGGAGGTGCTGGCCGCAGCCTGCTGTGGTCCAGAAGAGCTCAAAGGGTCTCACTTGGACCACTATTTATAAGACTGGAAGATGATTGACTTTAGGCTTCAGTAAATTTCCATCCTTGCCATAAATCGTTTGTTGGTAACTGCTTGAATTCTTGACTTCCCAGTGATGCTGGTACTGATCCACCCGAATCATGGCTAAAAAAAATACTAGATAAGATGCTCCAAGGCTGTCTGGGGATGGTGAGTTACTCCCATCTATACAAGAGTGCTTGGTACAGTCAAGGGGCCCTTAACCACCAAACTCTCTGCTCCAAGGCTTATCAAGCAAGGAGGAGGTGGGGGGGAATGCAACACCACAGATGGCTACTTGGATTAGAGTGATAGTTTATTAGATGTTTTCAAATTTGACCTTCGGGTAGATGATCCACAAAGATCCCTGAATGCCAATAATTTTTCTTTTGCCATATTAAATGTAAGGAGTTGTGTAGCAAAATGCAGTTCAGAAATAGTTTTGGATTTTTTTCCAAGTAAAAAAATTTTACGTTCCCTTCTTTTTTTCCAAGAAGGGAAGTACTGATTACAGACTGTTATTTGTCTGAATGCCTCATGTATTTGTGAAAGTAACTGGAGGCTCTTTCTTACTTACGATGATAAGAATAGAAGAAATGAGATAGAACGGTTCAGGTAGTGCACTGTTTTAAAGCAAATTCTAATTCAAGTTAATTACAGATTTTTTTTTTTACATGCTTAATCTACTTAGATGTTGTAAAACAAATTACTGTGTTTCTAATAGATACCTAGTATTTCATTCCTAAAGATCACAATGTTTGCTAAACCTGATTCGCATAGATACCATGTCAGTGCTGGGAGTGGTAAGTGGCTGTATACATGGTCATCTTTGTTCTGCAAAGATGGACTGGGAGAATCTGGACTAGGGAGAAACTCGAGACAGAAGTGGGCCCACCGTGGCTGAGCATGACCATGGTACAGAGCCAGCAGCAGCTGTGGCTCTGCAGGCAGAGGGCAAGAGATTGGTACAGCCCAAGGTCAAGGGTTTGCTTGAGGAGGAGGTGGTAGCCTTTCAGTGGAGTCTGTGTAGGCTGTGGCCCATTTTGACTTTATGTGGTGGCAGGCTCTTCTCAAGAAGAAACTTTTGGGTGCTGATGCGGTGTTTGCTCATAGGCAATGGTTTTCAGTTTATTCTGAAATAGTCTCAGTTCTAGGGTTGGTGCTTCTGTCACCATTGACCACCACATGAATCTCCTGAATGCGGTTATGAGTGACAAATATGTTATTACATTTCTGCAATGCATAAATTCAAGTTTTAGAATAACCTTCTTTCAGTTCCATTGAATTTAGTTTATGCAGTATCCTAAAGGCCAAAATGCTTAAATCTTTTCTCTCCAAAGCATAGTTTGCTATGTTATGTTGCCAAATAACAACTTGCATCTGAAAACTGCTAGGACTTTGAAGCAGTGCAGATGGAGTTGTTGACCTTTCACCACATAGCTGTAGGAAATCAAAGTCTGCTTAGATACAGCACTGATAAATACTTATGTCACAGATTGAAGGCTTGCAAGTTGAGTGGAATTTGTAGTGGATTTGATGAAATTAAATTAATGTTTTTTCAGAAGACTTGTTTCATGGAGTAACAAATGGAAGCAATACAACAGAAATCCATCTTAAATCTTCCCTTTACTGTGAGTAGTAAGAATTAGGTATTCAGGACAGTCGTTACTAATGTTATTAGCTAGAAAACCTACGGGGTTTTGTTACTGTTAACTCATCACAAAAGTGCTTATTTGGCTGTAATTACAATGATGTGCTTTTCTTTTTCCCTAGGTGGCTATTTTTAATGCCGTGGTGTCATTAGCTGGCTGAAGACTAAACATGAGAATAGCAGGTAAGTACATCCAGTAAAATCAGACTTCGGTCACTTGTGAAACAAGTGCTATAGACAGCATTAACAAGTTATGACAATAAAGTTTTAAAATAAGCTGAAGGCATAACAGGCATTGCTGTTCTATTTAATTGATGTTTAATGAAACTAATTTGGGAATTTGGTGTGGTCTAAGAGCAAGCAGCTGGTTAAAACGCTTCAGTTGATCTGCTGAATCTGGTGACTGGTTAAGGTGCTTGACTTGACATACTGGCTGCTAATTCTGTGAGATGAGGAAGAAATAAGGAGATGGCCATTTGAGGTCTTCAGTGATTCCTTCCCTGCCTCACATCCCAACCAAAAATGCTCTGCACTATTATAATATAGTGTCTGAAGCTTCTTGAATGGTTACTGGGAGCATGACAGCTATAAAAGCTTTTTTGTAGAGGTAAGTTACAGTAGTACCAGGTTTTAAAAACTGATTTTACATGACAGAAGGTGTATTGTTTGTAAAAATAAGGTCTTTGCTAATATAACGCTACAAGAAAATAGTATTTTAGACATTTCTGTGCAGTAGAATAGCTTGTGTGGCAATTGAACAGTTTTGAGTTTGTGATGCATTCCACTTTTATCAGTAGTTGTAGTGTTATGTTGCAGAAGGAGCTAGGAGAGAATGACACCATCTTTTCCAAGAGAGTTGCATGTTAACCTTCTTAATGCATGAAGTTAGTCCTGATTTTTGTCACTACTTCTAAAGTTGTTTTATTAACTTCAACATACATAACTGGGAGCAACCTGCTAAAGCAAATCTGGTAAAGAACTGGAAAATGCTGCAATTTTTAGAAGGTGACTAAATCACCTGGAAAATGAATTCTCCAAACCTCTTTTTTTCTTCCATCTAACTACTTTTGTTGCTAAAACTCACAGACAAAGAAGATACAGCAGTTCCTATAGAGTCTGTAATGTGTAGCAAACGGGCTGGTTTTGGTTCAAGTGCTAAAAGAATTTTCTAGGAGATTTTTTACCTCTCCCTTAGAGTGAGTGCTCGCAGTCCAGTTGAAAGGCTGAGGATGCATAGTGGAGGGGTTGGTTAGTGCTCAGACTGAGTTCTCATTCATCTCGCCTACTATCTACTGAAACAACGTGCTCTCCAAGTGCCACTTGCTAGATGACACATAACAAAAGCTGGTACCATCTTGTCTTTTTAAGCAGTGTTGCTTTGAAAACCTTTTCTCCACTTCTTAATGTATGTCCAGATCATATGTTTTCTCTAGTGCTTACACACAGTTCAATTCCCTTCAAGTGCAATAATCTTCGGAGTTCCAGCATAATATTTTTCAAGGTAAGGTTGGACGGGGCTCTAAGCAACCTGATCTAGTTGAAGATGTCCCTGCTCACTGCAGGGGGTTGGACTAGATGACCTTTAAAGGTCTCTTCCAACCCAAAGTTTCTATGATTTTTAAATTAACTTTGCATCTGCGTTTTCTTACATGTTATGTATGTGCTCATACACAGGAAAAAGGAAAGTGGGAGAGGAAGGGTGAACTACAAGCAGACAAAAAAGTTGTATCTCTTTTTACATCTTTCTTCTCTTTTTCTATCCCCTTACCTTTTTTTACCTTTTGGAAGGATTGATTAATGTCTCTTATCCTTCTGAAGGCTGAGTAATCTGTCTATTTTAAGGTTTTCTGAACAGCCCATCACAGCAGCAGTCTGAGATCTGCAGGAGTACCCAAGTTTGGGTTTTTTCCTAAAGGATTTATTTGTCTGGCAATCTGAGAAACAGAAGCATGCTGTAAGGTTTCTTCGTACAAACAGTTTGAGATACTGGGGTGAGACAGGAAGGCAGGATGTTGATGAGATGCCTCCTCATGTAACTTATACTCTCAGTCAACATTTTACAATAAGCTAAGAGTGGAGTATTCTGTAAAAATCTATTGAAAATTATGCTAAAAATGGTGGAGTTCATGGCAGTACCACATACACCTGAGTTTCCATTCCAGATGTAAATTGCTGTGGTTGTATGCTTCCAGCTCTTCTCCCAGGAGGTAGTTTGACCACTTGGCACTGGAGAAAGTTAGGCTTGTAAAACTTCAAGCTACCTGAGGCTTCAACATAGGAAAATGGGAAGGGAGAGGTACAGCTGTTTATTGCTTTATAAATTGGCTCTTTTGAGTCTTCACACATGCTTTTTTTAGGTCAGTAATTTAAATTTGTTGAAAAGGAGGTGAGGAGGCTTTTTTTTTTCTTTTGCCGTGGTGATTTTTTGGGGTTTTTTAATGTAATGCTCAGACCTGACTGGCAAAAGTGGCCAAGCTACAGTATGTGAGCAGATCCCTAATCACTCAGGTAGCTCAATTTGAAGGGGCAGGGAGAGGGGAGAGGCGCATTTATGAACAATGAGGAAACAGGTACACATGGCTAAGAATGGGGAAGTGGAATGGGGGGAGGTGGAAATTTCCCGTTTGGACAGCAGCCAGTTAGATCAGCTTAGTTAATTTTAAGCGGATTTCTATGGAAGAGTCTGTGCTTTCTCCTGGCTGCTGGGCTGAGTTGGTGTACTGTGGTGTCAGACAAGCATGAAGCTGGAGAAAGCTGAGAGCAGGGTATGTATTTGGTATAGTAACATGAGGGACTGGCTCAGCTGCATTGTAGATTATAATGTCCATTTCTTGAAGATGACTTCTGTTTAGTGAGTCCACAAATGATCATCCTATTTCTGAGTTCTCCTTAATGTAATCTGATACACATTTCTCATGTAGTTAATGTTGGTAAACTTCATGTTATCATTTTCAGATAATTTTTTGAAACTTTTCTCTGCTTCTGCATAGGTGCTGCAAAATTGGTAATAGTCATAGCAATATTTTTATTGACATTTTATGTCATATCTCAAGTGTTTGAAATAAAAATGGATGCGAACTTAGGACATATATTTGGTAAGTGATGACTTTTTCTGAGCCATAATGCAGAATATCATACTCATTTTGCTTTAAGCTTGATTTAGGCTCTTATGCTTAAGATTTCTGTCCTTATTTTTAAAGTGTGTACTTGTTGCTATTTTTAAATATATATTATACATATATATATAATGTGTGTATGAAGTTATTTTCTGTCCGAAATATTTATCCTACTCTCTTAATCAGTTTGATTATTTTGCCTGTCAAGTATTCATAATTTTACCAGCTTTTTCTGTTTATGGGTACTTAGCCTGGAATTGTAAACTAGGTGACTTGAATGTTTCTGGAAGTCTGCACTCTGCCTTTCTGCTGCTTAATTCAAATTTAAGTTTTGGGTGGGATTTTTTGCTTGCACGGGTACACTACCATGTACAATTGAATGTGCAGTAATCAAAACATTTCAGATGTGCCCAGGTTTACACAGAAAAGGATTAGCAGCTGAGGTCTTAAAATTCAGAGTCTATGTTTTGAACCAACTTTATCTTTAAAGGTGCTTTTCATTACAAAAACCCAATTTTAGCTACATGGGTAGGGTTCTTGTTACTTGACTCCACATTGCTACAGTGTGAGCCAACATCTGAATCAGTCACCAGAGGCTTCTTTAATAATCATTGAAGAGACACAGGTGTCATTAAGTATTACAGATGTATTGTAGATATGTGCACGATGAGGTCACTTGTGTCTTTTCCTATCCCAAGAAAGAGAGTCATGAATACACATGAGTTGCACACTTCCAGTGTTAGGTGAAAGGAACCCCATCCTGGTGAAGCTGTAAGAAGGGAATTCATTTCACCTTAGTGCCCACACCTCCACAAATCTCTGGTGGTTTTGTATCTCCATGGATCTTTGTGTTAATTGGAAAGTCATAAATTAAGGCAGTGCTTCTAAATGTGGTTCCTGATCACTTTCTTTACTGTGTAAAGGTTAATGCTCTGTATTGGAACATAATGTTCAGATGTATTTGATACTTCATTTCAACCAAACTTTTTATACGGGTACAGAAAGGTTTTTAATTTATAGTATATTTTATAGCAGATGACACTTGAATAGTAACATCTTATAAAACTTTCTTTTTGCATTTTAGCTAGATCATCACTGGATGCAGCTGCACGCTGTGAGTGTTCATATGCATGTGTTACTGTTGTGACTTGCTTTCGCTAATAACAGAAAGACTTGAATTTTCATAGTGAAGAAAGTCTTAATTACACTTCAAGTGCAATCAGAAACTAATTTTCTTTTTTTCCTGATTTTCCTGAATTTCTGATAAAGTCTAGGTTTTGCTAGCATTTCCCGTATAGTTTTGTCTTGGGGCTTTTGATAACAGTGCCAGAGCAAGCAACAGGATCAGATAAAAGTACAATAATGAGGTGCTGCAGGAGTCCAGATTATTTAAAGCCGTTGTGAAACTGCAGATGAGATACTGTTTGTCTTTGCTCTTTTCCTTTAATTCCTTCAGAAAACTGATATTTCTCTGTTAGCCTAGCTGTGGTGGTATCTCTAAAATGCTGTTTTATTTCCTTTTGAAAGCTACAAAACCTCCAAGATATAAATGTGGAATCTCTAAAGCTTGTCCTGAAAAGCATTTTGCATTCAAAATGGCAAGTGGAGCAGCGAATGTAGTTGGACCTAAAATTTGTGTAGAAGATAATGTGTAAGTGTTTTTACCTGTTGTCTCCAAGTATCTCTTTCAAATGCTGTCTTGAGTCACACTGCACACAAAATCAGTAGTTTAAATGGTTCTTTGTAGGTTTTGTTTTGCCAAGGGTTTGACTACATGAAAAAATTATATTGCATTATAACTTAATCTCCCATGAAGCACACTTAGTATGCTGCAGTAAATGCAGAAATATATGCTATTTTAATACATGCAAGATAGCTTACACTTTGTTTCGGTTTTACAGATTTAAGGATTAGTGAGACTTTGTCAAGTCAGATGCAAACTTGCCTCCAAGTAACTTGTTCTTGTGCTTCTAATAGTAATTCAGTGAACGATTGTATTTTTAATTACTCTCTTAATTGCTTCTAACTGAATGTTATCAGCTAAAACTGTGCCATGGAATTGCCTTTTGCAAGTTGTCTTTTAAACTGTATTTCCATAGCACCAATGTCAGAACATATTTTCCACTTTTCTTTGAAGGATGATGTCAAAAGAGAAGAACAGTATTTTCATGATCAGTAGTTACTTAGTTGTGGTGATGGTAACTAAAGTTAATAAAGTAATTGTGAAATGAGGAAAGGAGCTGCTTGAAACACAGTTTGGTTTTGAGTTGCAAGTTCTGTATTTCTAATGACAGTATTTTTAATACAGTATTAATGATAATACTGTGCCTAGAGTATTTGACTGAGAAGTATTGGCTTAGATATTCCATCACTTTACTCTCATCTTATAGTATCTATAAAACAGCCCTATATGATCTTAGAGAAGACTATTTTTAGCACTAACTCTAGCAATCAAGATGTAGCAGAGTTGAATGTTTGTTTTGTTTTAAATGTCTCACTGGTTAACTAAGAAGAGATTGTTCCTGTCAAAAAAATCCTTTACTGGATGTTTCACTGAAGAAAGTGATGAAAAGATAGTAGTTGCTGGCAAGAAATCCTCTATTCTTTTAAGACTAGTGCGCACTGTAGTGCACAGCTATTGGAGTCTGAAGTCCAGTTTGCCTTGGAAAAATCTTTCTGAATTCCTTCTAAGGAGGACTTGTAATGTTTAAATGTCCACCAGAACATTTGATTAATTTTATATTATCTCCTGCTTTGCTCCTAAGACCTTTGATTTCTTTTTCAAAAGCTTCCATAACTTGATTGTAAATTATTGGAAGAATTCTAAAACTGATGAACGGCTGCCCTCCTGTGAGAAAACTGTCACATTACAGCCTGTAGTGTTTGTGAGTTGGTGCACAAGCTGTCTCGGGAGTATAAAGCAATATCTCAGACTCTGAAAGAACTTATTTCCTCTTCAGTAGCTCTTTTTAGTGATGTTTTGTGAACTCACTCCTTGAAAAATGCTTTTTTTCTGATTACTTTGTATTTTCTTCATACTTCCAAGACAAGGGAGCAGGGACAAGTTTTCATGATTTGTTAATGATATTTACAATGTAGGGTTTTTTGTTGTGCATGAAACGTAAGGATGCTACCTGGTTTATGAGAGTACTGAAGGTGCTGATATAATTCAGAATGCATTTAATTTTGCAGTTTTTTCTTTTTGTTTTTAATTTTATAGATACTTTGGTGTGGATTAGGAGTTCTGCTGTATAGAATTTCAGCTGCAGCCTTATTCCCCTATATTGGAAGGACATAATCCAAATTAGAAAAAAACATACTGTAGTAATCATCAAAATATTAAATATTTTAGTTGCTTCTTCATGGGCTTTTTAGAAGAAGGGGCAATATTGCTATACTTCTTTACCAGCAACTTCTTCATGCAGTTTTACTACTTCTATTAAGAAGCCAGTTGCATGACTGTGCTGCAGTAACCTTATAGCAGGTTGTCACACAACATTCCATTAATAACTAGTAATTCTTGTATTCATATTTGCAAGATTTTTTTGTTGTTGTTGTTGTCTGAAATCCATTACAACTTTTGTTATGCATGTGTAGGTTTTTAGCATCTAGTCACCCTAGTATTGGATATTTTTTGACTGGTATTTATTTACAGAGAATTCTGTAGTTAAAAGGAAGTTCTTACACTTTTTGGTAAATTAAATGTCCACTAAATTTTATATGAGGAAACGAATGTGTTCAGAACTTCACTGCCTCTTCTTCATTTATGTTTTCAGTCTTTATTTGCCATATGTTTTTATTGTTCAGAACGGATGCTCGGACATGACATGAAAATAATGTGATTAGAGAAGAAATGATCCTTCAGTGGCTAAAATACTTCTAGGATTTCCTACTAACCAGAACTGAATCTGCATTTCAGCAGAAGATTTCAGAAGTTTATTGAATTAGAGTTTTAATTTTAATCTGAATTTTTGGCAGATGGTATAACTTAGAGGACTAACAGAAAAATATGGACTCTTTCATGTCTGATTACCAGTTCTTTAAAATGAAGTCACTGTGCCGAGTTACCATTAACCAGTATTCTTTCACATCCTCTCTGAACTAGCTAATACTGAGTCTGTTCCTGATAGTTGTCTATTAAATTTGACATTACTCTAAATTTTGGCTTTTGTCTTCATCCTGGGTGCAAAAGGTAGCATCAATGAGGAAGATTTTTGTTGTAGTTCTGTGATAGACCATTTCTTGTTTCTAGCCTATCCCTAATAAGTTAGCATGAGGAAGCTGATGTTGCAATTGTGTGTGTAAGGATGTGGTCCTTCCAAAATGTTACTTAGAATGGATGTTCAGACATGACCTGAAAATCATATGATTGCAGAAGAATTGTGGGGGAAAAAAAAAGTTGAACACAACAGGATAGTACACATCTGCAGCCCCTTCCCAGAGCAAGCTAGGGAGGTTAAAGAAGTCCTGATGAGAATGGAATTAAAGCATTTGTTAGAGTGTGTTTGTAATTAATGAGATACGTGCACCTATATGCTTATGCTGAGGTGCTTTCTTGAATTTCAGCGGAAGACTTCTTGATTATCTTAATTTATGTAATTATTTCAACCCTTACTCCTTTTTCTCCTTCTGTATGTTAACTCTCTTACTTCTACCTTCAAAATGTTAATGCTGGGATATTTGGGGCCTGGAGGCAGAACAGAGATCTTTATACAGAGCCAGTGAAAAGGGATGAGGAGGTCTGGAAGCTTCCTCTCACTGGGGTGGTACACGCACCATGGTCCAGGGCAGCACAGCATCCTAGCTGACAGTCTGGATATTCCCATTAACACTTTTTTTACAGCTCTGAAGGGTTTCCATGTCACAACACATCTCTTCTTTCCAGATCCTTTGCCACTCTTGAGTTTGGCCAAGTAGTTGCTGTAAGAGTTGTGATGGTTTTGTTGGGGTAACTGTACTCCAAGATTATATTCAACTTTTGTTTAAAGTACCATCAGTGTATTAACTATTATTCTTGGATTTAGGTTTCCTATTATAGGTACAAGTAGCTTACTGCTTTGGCTTTCTTGTTCTTCCTTAGTATGATGCTGCAATATTTTAAATGCATCTCTTCAGTTAGCTTTTAAACTCATTAACACATTTTTGTTCATCATGTGCTTCCAAAAAAGCTTAAAATGTTGGTTATGAGGCTCCTCAAATTATTACTTGTTTCAGGCTCTTTAACCACAAGGGATTTTATTAAATACGTTAATAACACTTTGTTTTTTGTGACACTGTTAATATACACACATACTTTGAAACCAAGATGATTAAGTGATCAAATGATCAAATGAAATGGATACAGCTGGGGATATTTGATCTATTGTTCTCAATTCAGTGGTGCCATAAGAGCACACAGATTAGTTCAAGGAGATTTTGCTTCATTTAAGTACTCATGAACATGTGGCCTTTCAACTATGTATCTCTTAGAATTTGATCGATCCTATATAAAAAAAATATTCCACATCAGAAAATTGTCCTATTAAAAATAAAATTGTTTATTTTGTTTCAGTTTAATGAGTGGAGTTAAAAATAATGTTGGCAGAGGAATAAATGTGGCTTTGGTCAATGGTAAGTGACATTTTAAGTGAGCAGATTGTCTTCATTTTCAAATTGTTGAAACCAGGACAAAGGCAAACAGCAGGACAAAAGGAAATATTCAGCATATTTATACTGAGATAATGTCAGATGTTGGCACTCTACACCTTTTTGTTAGAATGTAGAAAAACTCAATGCATTTTTCTTTCTAAAAATGTGTAGTGAAAATAGTCACCACAGCACTCCACATTACTATCTCAGTGATACATCAGGTAAATTCCTAATGCACATATAAAATGGAAAAAGATATTAGATGCACGCTACTTCTTTTGACTTTTTGTGTTGGCACTACTAATGAAAAACTGTAGACTAAATTCTTCTGTTGCTCTCTTTTTCAATGAAACTTATTTAACAGTTCTGTTACTTAATGGAAAGACCAGCTCATTATTTCCTAGCTTGAAATAAGTATATTTGATTAGTTCATATCTATAGATCTTGTCCCTAAATACATCATGTTATATAATTGTGTTCAGGATTGTTAACTTTTGTTAAATGCAAACAAATTTACCTGTGAGTCACCTTGAAAGCTGAATTGAATGTCAGTACTGGCAGATTTGTCCTTAATGTGTAGGAAGCAATTCCTTGTAGCACTGAGATAGCACTTTGTCATTTCACTGCAATATAAATTCATGTTATTTTTGGATTGTACTCAGGTTTACATCATCTAAAGCATGACTTGAGCAATACTTGCCTAATCCTGCTTTGCCCTCCTAAATTGTCTCAATCTGTTCAAAACAAAAATATCTACCTTTATATTATACAGCTGCCAGTCTTTCTCCCTGTCTTTCAAACTTTAAATAATGTATGTATTAAAAATAAAACTCTACCTTTCATCAAATACTGCCTTAGTAGACAGCATAGTAAAAAAAAAAGCTAATGAGATTATTATATTACTCACTTTCTTCTATTTGTTCTGCATGTTTAAATCAACGAAGAATTTCGAGTCTATAGCAGAATGTGCAATGTAGTCTTAATCTTTCTTGCTTTCCATGTGACACTGAAGGCAACCTATAGCTGTACCATCTACTTTTGCAAAAACAATTTAAAAAAAAAAAAAGGGCAAATATGTGAAGTAAATTCTCTTTATTGGTTTTAGAGGCTGTGGGCGTTTTATGTTCCATTTGAAGTAAAATCAGAAGTTTGCATCTTCTCTCTTTTTTTCCCTCTTACCTTTTCCCCTACCTTTTCACAACCTACTGTGCTGTTTAAGGAGCAATCTTCATAAAAGATAAGAGTTACCGTAGTGATAGATTTATATGGTGACTCCTGCAGCACTTTCTCTGAGTCATTAAGAGAAGTTGGGCATGTTGTCTGTAAAATAATTTTGGCAAATATTTCTTTTTCTCCAGGTAAAACAGGAGAACCATTAGACACTAAATTCTTTGACATGTGGGGAGGAGGTAGGTGCAGTTGCCTTAGCTGGTTAGAGAGAAACAACTTAAAGCCTCCCTTTTTTTTCGCACCCCTCACCCCTCTTCTCCAGGCTCCTTTGCTGTGGTGGTTTAAGGTGATAGCTAAGGGAGTGCTTCACCTCAACCTTTGTAATTGTGAGGAGAGTGCAACTTCAAATCTGAAAACTTAAAAAGTTAAACTTTAAATAAGTGAGGTGGGAGGGAAAAGTAGTATTAATCAAACACACTTGTTCTCATGAGTAGTTCCCACTAGTGGTTGTGTCTTTACACAATATGGAGGAAACTCTTTCCATAAAATGAGAGTTCTCTCTGATGCATTTTATCTTTCTCCCACTTAGCATCGTTTGATAAATTTATAAGTACATTTACAAATGTTCTTAAAAGGAATGCTTTTGCAGGAAGGCATTGCAGGTGTTTAAATATGGAATGGTTGCTTGTTATTGAACAGTCTTGTGTTCTCTCTCTTTTCAGATGTGGCACCATTTATTGAATTTCTGAAGTCCATCCAGGATGGAACGATAGTGTTAATGGGAACATATGATGATGGTGCAACCAAGTATGTAATTGATTTATATAGGAAACATTGCTTAAACTTCTAATGCTGTTTTATACTGGGGAAAAAAGTGTTCTTTATCACACAGTCAAGTTTTGTTCTTCCAAAATGACAGATTTGAAACTATGCTTTCAGTTTATTAGTTTTATAATGCTGATGTGATTTGGGGACAACAAGGATCAAATTAAAACTAACCAGGTGTAGTGAGATACGTATGTATTTACGTAGAGGATTGTTCAGCTGTATACTTGCGTGATCCCAACAACAAAGAAACAATAAACTGGATATTAAATTAGGCCCTTTAGCAGAAATACCACAAGTGTTTGAAAATCTGAAAAGGCTAGAGATTAATAGTTGACTAATTAGCAATTGCTATATCAGTACACATAGTTTGGTTTTTTGCTCCTCTGACAAAAGATGTCGATGCAACTAGAAGACAATGTAACAGGGCATATGGTCAGTCCAACAGACTGCTCACTCATAGCTATGAAGAATAGATTTGCATGTCACCTTTTTCTTAACCATACCATTATCCTCCCTGGTTCCTGAAGACCCTGTAGGTTTCTAGCTGCTCTCCTAGAATTTGTCCCTCTTTTTTTTTTTTTTTTTTTTTTTTAAATGTATGCTGCCAAGGATATCTGTCTTTTTGGAGATATGTTGGTTTTCATATTGCTGATAGCTCATTCTGTCTTATGCTAGTCAAGTCAGATATGTCCAGACATAGGAACATGACTGTGAAAACTTACTCTGGTGGAAATGGGACTCTGTTTCATCCAGCACTTTTCTCATATCAATTCCAAGACAGTGTTTGGTGGTTACAGGGGTGAAGAGACCATTCATAATAGGCCTTGCCTGTACCATTCTTTTTAAAGTCTGAGAGGTTACTAGTGTGTGCCTCATACTTGTTGGCCTCAGTGTTTGGACTGTTCCCCCCTAAAGCTGTTCAATTTATTAATGTAGAGATAGCCTAAGAATTTTTAGTTCTCTTTAAGCATTGTCTTCCAACATTCCGAACTTTGGTCAGCTTTAATAGATGCTAAAAATTACTGTAGAATTTGTATTGTAATGTACTCCTCACTTAAGTCATCCTGCCCAAAGGACTGCTTTTCATAGTGAAAATTAAGAGGATTTTTTTTCCTTTTCCTCTGTTATTTTAATAATGTTTAATTTTTTGCTAATGTGTTCTGTACACTTTTTTTTCTCCTTTGGTTCAATTTGCTATCCACAACTTGTCTGTATTTTTGATATGGGAGCAGCTTTCCTATGACAACATCCTGATTTTGCAGTGTGCAGTATTTGCAGTAAGTAGTTGAGTGTCTGTAGGTTCACTGCTTCTAGGAGAAGAGAGCAATTTAATGTCTCTATGCCAAGGCTGGATCTTCTGTCTGTTCTAGTCACTTGTTTTGTTACTTTTCTTTTTGCTCTTTTTCCTTTCTTCTTTAATGTTTCAGATAATAAGTACAGTTAGTTTGTTTCAATAACCATGTCACAGCTGATGTGTTTGAAAGCTTTTATGTAGAATGCAATATCAGCTAAACAATAAGGTGAATTTGTCATATTCATGCTGACAGCCAGGAACTGCTGCTTCTTACTGTTCTTACATAATTAGCCAAAACCTTACCAGTATTGGTTGATGGTAATCATAAATGCCAGTTCTTGAAAACAATTAACACTGTGAAGAACCAACATGTTTAAGAGATAAAATTTTTTTGATTCATTTTTTTTTTTTAATATAAGCTGCCCTAAAGCTCTAGAAACTCGGAGTGTAGATTGTGCAAATAACCTCCAAAGTACTTAACCATTTTCATAATTTTTGCTAAAGTGAGTCATAAAACTCTATCTCAGCAAGTAGTAATAATCAGAAGTTGTGTGTGTTGTTTAGTAATCGGGCAAATACAGTAACTGAAAGGAAGAAATAAAGAGCTGTTATTTGGAGGTTTTGGAACGATAACTTATCATCCTACAGAATCGTTTTCCCTTCCACATTAAAATTACCTTACTTGGACCTACAGGCACTGAACTGTGCTGTGGGGGGCAGCATTCTGAACTTGTAGTTAATTGACCCAAGCAGACAAGAACTTCTTTCACATATTTAGGTCATTCTTCTAATCTAAAATAGCTTTTACTTTATCTAGACTTCAGCTTGAGCCTGCAAATGATGTTTGCTTTAAAGGTTGACTTTTTATAGTTGCTCAGAGAATTGCTAACATGACTTGAGATGCATGTATAAATTCTCACAGGAGAGGGTTCTTGGCCTTTGTTGGTGTACTGATAGGTTTGTATGCTGGTTCCTTGAGGTTATAATGTTAAAGAGCAGTGCTGATTACATCAGGGGATTTCAGAATTAGCCTTATCTGATTTTGAAAGATAGATCTTGCACAATGTTGACTGACTTAAACTATATTTAATCAGATTACAGGTGAATGGTCCGTTGAACAATAAAAGCTCTAAGGGCATGTATTTTATTCACACACTGAACTTCTCTGTTCTGTTCAAGGCTTAATGAGGAAGCACGGAAACTGATCACTGAATTAGGAAGCACATCTATTACTAACCTTGGCTTTAGAGACAACTGGGTCTTCTGCGGTGGAAAAGGAATTAAGACTAAAAGTCCATTTGAACAGGTCTGTGATTCTATAACTTACTGGAATTTAACAGCTTACATTAATAAAATTGTAGCATGTTTTATAAATGCCATGCATTTTTCCAAGATGGGTATCTATCTTGCAGGAGTGGCACACAGTCTTACTTTCAAATTTATTCTTTGACTAGCCTCCTCCTTTTAAATATACAAAAAAGATTCTTTGATTCAAAAATAAGAAAAAAATCTTATATGGGGTAGATCTTACTAGCCCAATAACTAGATCATTTATCTTTTTAATGAATCCAATTAAACTGAAGGATTCAAAACTTACTGCCTAAAGCATGTATTTTAGATGCACTAACAATGGTAGACCTCCAACAGATAACGTCATAGTTAAGGTGTTGGTGTTCCCAGCTGTTCAGTTTGCTCTTCTGTCAAAAATTACTGCTGCCATAGCAAAATTTGTGAAATAGAGTATGTTCCCATACTTCAGCTGTGTACAATTCAACATGTGTCACTGTTGCCTTCAATTACTGGTAAAGGTAGCTTTGTACTAGGAGAGTAAGGAAGGCACGTTCTCTTTTGCCAGCTTTGCAAGGGAGTGGGCTCTAGTGGAGGAGCAGTGGCAAACTCTTGGTGGCAGTAATGTCTTACCTGACTGCAGATGGTTGCTTGGTGGAAAAATAAACCTAATTTTCAAAAAAGCAAACATTCAACATTAAATAATGTTTTTAAAATCTAAGTATTTGTTTTCAGTGCCATGTAAATTTAGTGTCCTTACTTATTTTTTCTTAGTGTTTCATGTTTTAATGCAGTTGGTCTTTTCCTTGCTTGTCTCTCTTCCTAAATAAACATCTATAGTACATTTAAAAAATGTTTTCCCAATATGGCTTACCTGTTTTTAGCATACATTTGTCTGAGCAAGTTACATTGTGGTGAATACTGAGAGATTGTTACATTTGATACAAAGCACAAGAGGCTAATAGTGATGTCTTCTCTTTGTCCATGGCCTGAAAATAAGTAAATAAAATCTCTTTTAAAGCTGTGAGTTGAAGTAAAAGGATAAATGACTTCACATTAAAGATAGATTGATATTTTCTATTTATAGCATATAAAGAATAACAAGGACACAAACAAGTACGAAGGCTGGCCAGAAGTTGTTGAGATGGAAGGCTGTATCCCTCAGAAGCAAGACTAAATGAAAACAAAACAAAAGGAAAGGAGAAAGAATATGGAAGAAAATGCACTTTCTGCTATTATTAGGGAGAGGGCTATGAAGGAGACTGTACTGTAAATAATATTTTTAAAGCATGCAACCATCTTGTCGGTGTGTGCATGAGCACTGACATTTTGAATATTGGGATTATTTATTGCTAACACACATAGAAATCCTTTTTGTAAATATGTCCAAAATAAAAGAAACATCAAATCATTTCTATGCAGGTTTCTTGAAAGCACAGTATTTAGTTCCCCTGTGATAAATAATACCTTGTAGATCAACTGGCTAATAAATTGCATATGCGGATGATAAACCAATCCTGAGAAATGTTGTACTGTCCTCCTAACAGCGTAATGTTGCTGTGAGTATGTAACCTCTGTGGAATATTGTAGATTTTAGAGGTAAGTTAATAATAATACAGAGCTTTAATTTTTTTTATCCTCTGCCTTTTTAATGGCAGCATCACTTTTTATTAAAGCTATTTGGTTATTCTAATACCAAGTGCTCCAGAAATCTATTTGTAGTCCTCCATCAAAACGGAATAAACAGCAAACGAAGAATACATGATAGTGTAACACAGATATGCCATGAGAAGCACAATAGAAATCATTTTTATTAGGGGAAGAACAAAAGTAAGTATACAAGGATTGTGCGTTTTATTTAAAAGCAGCTTGGAAGGATTTGTACTTAACTTGAAAATAGTGTTTACTTTGTAGAAGAGACTTGGCATGTTAAGCAGCAGTACTGTGGCTAACTTGTTCAGTTTTTATTGCAATTCTTCAACTGCTGCTTAACCATCGATTCTACCTATGGCTATTCAGCTATAGTGGCTAGTCACATAGCAAGTGTGCATAATGGAATAGCTTCCTCTTTTAGTTCTAACATGAGGAATAAATTTCCCATCACAAAGAGCCTGTTAGAAAGCAGTCTGCCTTCTAGTGAGAGTTGTTTCAGAGTACACAATTGTGTACCTTTACCACCGATGTTACATCTAATGTGAGCCGAGGCAGTTTGTTCTTACAGTGAGATGTTGGAGAAAGCATTGCGTCTTGGGTTATGCAATGTGTGATATTTAAACTTAACTGACAATGTTTCCTTCATCCTGTTTTTTTTAATGGAAAAAAAAAAAGGACCAAGTTGAAGTGGCCTTATTCTTTAGCTTGTATCAGAGCTGTGAGAAAACGTTGCTTTCTTTGGAAACTTCTGTTTCTTTTAAGTAGGGCCAGCTTGAACTTTTGCTGAAACTATGTTAGTATGGCATAACTGACAGTGTCGATATTCACAGAACTGAGTGTAATCTCTTGGAGTTTTATGTCATGAGTTCTGGTGTGATCTTCAAAAACTTCTAGTTAGTACCATGGGGCAAAAGCCACAAAGGATTTTTCAGGAACCCACAGTGTGAGTTGAACACAGTAGCACTCAAAATACTCAAAAATTTCAAGCAATATTGGGAATTACCTTGTAAATAACCTGTGCTACCAGAGTATGACTGGATTCTGAGTTGTTCTGTGTAACTGGCTTGTTAAATAATGTGGTTTTCCGTTGAGTTTAATGTAGAACAGCAATAAATGCACCTTACACAGTGAAACTGCTTTTGTTAAATCTTTCAGATTTTCTTGTGTAGGAGGTCATGTCAAATGTATATTTTTTTCATGAAAATAAACCCCCCTGTTTCTATCAATTGGAAAATAACTTTTATTTCATAACGTTAGGCTATTGTGGAAAACTAATTGTGTAAGTCCTGGAATGTTCACAGAAATAGTTTTGTTGGTACATATTCCAGTATCGGTTATGCTGCTATCCAGAATATCAAAATAATGTTGAAGATACTTGGCAGAGACTTAAGAGAAAAAAATATCTGTCTGCATTAGTAGCTCCCCTGGACTACTCTTCTCTTTGTTCTTTTGGTTTTGAATGCAAATAAATATTTCATCTTTCATCAACTTAAAAAGTTCAAATTTCCTTTATAAAATTAAAAATGAGAGGAAATAAGACTAAAGGCAGGCCTTTTTTAGACCTTGTATCTTTTAAATTTGTGCCTGTTTTTTTTAGCAATCTAAATTAAGTAAATAGATTATGTTTCTTAACTCCTTAAAGTTGCATCTGCTACAAACCTTTTAAACAATGGTTTTTAAAGGAGTTGATAGGATTATTTTTGCAAATAATTATTTGATTCCTGTGATTTTGATGGAAATCTTCCTCTACATTCTCTAACCCATGTCCTCACAGCTGTGTTCTATCACACTTAATAAGATTCTCTTCAAGTATATAAAACTCATACTGGAGTGGCCATGCAAATGGGGTCTCCTTGCTTGTGTCCATCGTCGTGGTCCATTGACTTGCCACAAGATCTAATCATGCTATCTCTTCTGCCTTAAGTGGTCTGGTTACGGTATCCTTCTGTTGAGGTGAACTTTCCGATGCTTACTCTTAAGAAGCAAGACTCGAATAATCTGTCTGCATTTCATTTGAGTTACCAAGCACAAAGATTACTTTTCTGGCCTCCCTGGTCTCCCGCAGCTGGTGGTAGGAAGTAGTCAGGTGCAAAGATGAAGGCATTTTGTACCGATAGCTTCATGTGAAAATGCCTGTGTGGGACAAATCTCCAGGATGCGTATTTTCCTACAGAAGATGATGGGAACATTTGCAACATCTTGCAGACTTGCTGAGAACAGAGCTGTGAGGGAGAGTGGAAGATGGGGGGGGGTGTCTGCCCCTAGAAAGGGCAGCTGTGAGAAGAGGAGGGGGGAGGAGATAAGGAGGTTGTAACTTCATTTTCACCAAGGAGCACCCAGCTGGGATTCAAGCCACCTGAAGACAACTTCCTTGTAAACTATGGCTCTCAGCTGCTGTACTAGTGTTGCTTTATATGGATAATGGGAGTCCTAAGAAAGAAGCTGAAGGGGGTCTCTGCATCTTTCCTAGTGTCTTCCCTGATCAGACTTTTTTTTCCTTCTTTTCCCCTGGAAACAGCAGAGCCTTTTACAGCTTTAAGTTTCCCGAGTGCTAGTTTGGAAAAAGCTTCCTTTTGCTTGGCATGTTTTGCTTTCCAGGTGTCTTACGGTGGCACTTGGCTCCCTCAAACACTGATGTGACTACTAAATGCTTGATGCATATGTAATATCTCCTAAAATGTTTGGATCTTCTGCAGTCTGAGTATTTTTCAAGAATGAATGTATTAATAAAATAAAGGCCAGATGGATAACTTCAGTAGGGGAAAGAAGGTAATAAAACTGCTACCATAAGTGTTCAGGGACTTGCCTGTGTAAGGGTGGGAATGGCTGTAATCCTTCCCTAAACTGATTTGGGTCATGGCTAAGGTGGATACCAACTAAGGGACTTTCTATTGATGAAATCCTGTTCAGTTTTACATCTGTAAGGCCAGTCTAAGACCATGCCCTAGCCTTAATCCAAGGTGCCTGGCTAAGAAAATTGAAAAAGAAACCTGGAAGGCTGGATGGGAACTTTGAGGCCAAAGCAGCAAGGTGCAAGGACAGCTTTTGGCCTTTCTGGTGGTACCATGAGCTGTCAGTGGCCCCTGACGCCCCACTAGGGATACAAGGGACCCTGCTTCTCACCCTCTGAGCAACGGGCCGAAAGGGCACAAACATGTGGGCTCAGCCACCTCTTGCTGCCTCCCTGGAGGCGAAAAAACGAAGAATGGCAACGAGGGAATGTGCCCTACTTGAGATGTTTCATTATGTTTCTGATTATCTTAATATTAGCTTAAACCCACTTTTAGTTCCTCCTTGCTGCTCCTATAGTCAGCCCTTTCAGCCTTACAAACAAGGTCTAGTGCATCCTTCGTAGACTCAGATTAAAACAGGTTCCTCAGATGTCCCTTCCTATGCTTAACTGTCCACCTAGATAGGTTGCCTCATGTACCATCCAAACCTTCTCTACAGAAAATTAATGATCACTGCTTTGCAAGTTAAAAATTAATTACTCTCTTAGATGTTTTTTACATTCTTCCTGGCCCTATCTTTTCCTTTCTAGAACATACAACCCAGTTCCTTTATTGTTGCATTTATACTTTTTAAATGGCTATAATCTGTAAATCTGTAATCACCTGTTCCCTGAAAAAGGTCTGTTCCTTTTTCAGGGTGTTGTCCATAGCAGGATATAGCTTACAACCTCATTGACATGAAAAAAAGGCACTCCCAGCTGAGGAAGAATCATGTCTCCTCTGTGAGCTTGATGGATGCTGGTGGAAGGGAGTGCTGCCTTCTGTGGAACATAGTTTGCAAATTTTTTTCCTACCAAATGCTGCAGCAATCCTCTCTGACTAATTATCTTCCTCAGCCTTGAATATTTCAGCATTGTCTTTATCAGTACAGCCTCATGTTCCCAGATCTTGGCAGCTGAATCATCCCTCCCACTGGAAAACTTGGTGGATAAAGTCTTGATTTATGGCTTTTATATCTTAGCCTTCATAGATGCCTCAAAAGCACCTAACACACAATGTAGATAGCTGTACCTTGTGTTTGGTAGTGTATTAGTAAATAAAATGAACATAATCTGTTTATTGTCCTTTGAGGTATGTAGAAATGAAAACTAACTTTCAGGGCTTTAGAATATATATGGAGAGTGGTAGGGATCAGTATAGAGCATTGGAATAATCCAGCCACATTGTCTGCACAGAAATCACTCCATCCTCTATGGGGGATTACTGATCCCTGGAGGCAGCCCAAAGCAGCTGGTTAATTCTGTTCCTCGTACTGATCTTGCAGTACAATGCAAGAGGTTTAGAGTGGTTTCTTAGCATTGCAATTATGGGGCAATCAGCAAATGGAAAAAAAAAAAAAAGAAATCAGAGCCCAAATAATATTTCAAGGTTATTTAAGTGGTCAAAATTGTATTATCCCAAATACGGTCTCAGCAGAGAGTACAACACTTAGTGCTGTTTGGTCCTGAGTGACCAAAAGCAAGGAGGGCTTTTTGAAGAGGTTACCTGCAGTTGTACTGCCATAAAATCACTGATCAATGGAAAATGTGCCTGCCCTGAACCATCACCCCTTCTTCCTGTACGTGGCTTGCTTGTTTTCCTGAGAGGTCTCCTATGTTAGCACAGTGTGAGGGATCACAAAACTTCTACAGGAGGTAGCTGTAGCATTGGATAATCCCAAAAGTTTGGTTCTACCTACATTTCTTGCACAGAAATCCGTCAAATGGGTTTATTTCACTATCATCTGCTTTGTTTGCAGAATTTCTGTCAAATGCTTTCCATTTGTGCTGTGTGCGTTTTGGTTTTGTTGGTTTATTTTATGTTAAAAACCTGGAGTTTTCAATGCACGCGACGTGTGAAACCATAGTTGGACAATATTCTGATGTTGGCAGCACAGTCAGCTCAAGGAGTTACTACTCCTGGTCTCCCCGACTTCTTACTGTCATGTCCTTGCTGCAGTTTGCTGCTCCAAACTAAGCCAAACCTATTGTTTGTAGCGTGTTTCTGTGAACCATAGCGTTAAACTGAGGGGCTGGGCTCAGGGCAGGGA